TAATACTTCTACTCAGCATAGAGGTACATTTATTACCATAGGTTCATTTAGGATGTGCCACAACAAACCAGGAATTATTTTATCTATTTTAGGGAAGAGCATTAAAAAATACTGTGAGAAAATGGAGACTTAGAGCTACATGATTTTGCAAGCTGCCACACTACCATGAATGCAGGTCAACTTTTCACTTTGTTTTTAATTACACTGCTAGACAGACACAACAGCTGTTTTGCAGAATTTTTAGTTGAAATTTTACTTTCTTCAGGCTACATCTTGTGCTTTTCAGCTACTCTTGATGTGCAGAACTCTAGGAGTTTCTCAACCCTAACCCTCATCCCTCAGCTGTTGAGGGTTGTTGACTGTTGTTAACACAGGATATGTCAAAATAGACACTTATGTTTCCTGCCCTGGTGATACAATACAATTTCAGAAAACCACAGTCAAGAGAAGGCCAGATGACAATTTCAACAAGAAAAAAAAAAAGGAATGAGTTATTTTCTCTATCAATCCAAAGTTACTTTGAGGCACTCATCTCTAGTCCATGTTCTACAAGCTGAATTACAAACAAATTCAACATAAATACTTAAATTCATTAAAGTGCAATTAAATAAGAGGAAACTGCCACCAAAGAAAATCCCTGTGGAGCTGATTACTATAAGTTATGGAAGCATACCTGGGAAAGACTATATAGTGTCTTCTTTTGCTGCTCTTTAATCATCTATTACCAGAGACATTAGACAAAGCTAAATAAACCTCTATTGTGAATAACTACCTCAATTTTATAGTTTGAAATAAGAAAAATGCATTATCTTATTTTTCTGTTTTGAATAATGCTGATAATAAGCCATGGAAGAACCTTCTAAAGTGTACTAAAAGTAAGTGACAGAAGAATAATTTTAGTATGTGAAATTACTGTAGGATGAGGCAGCAAAACACAAGGCATTTGACTAGATTAAGTTGTTTCAAGCCTTCAAATTGGCTCATACAGACCTCACACAGCTCAGGACCCAAATAAGAATAATACCATGAGTAGCATTTACATTGAAGTATAGAATCTATACTTCTTCTAAAAAAAAAAAAAAAAAAGAAAGAAAATCATTTCTACACACTTGAGTGGCTATAAAAAGGAAAAAATCAGAAGCCATTGCTGTTTTAGAAGGACAAAATCAGTTGCTGAAAGAAGGAGATGAATGGGATTCTCTCACTCCCTGAGGACTTTATAGGTCAAAACTAGCACTGAGAACTGACACAGCAGTGGTCCAAGGGATCCAAAAGCTCACTCCTCGTGGCTCTTTCCCCACTGCAGAAGTCAGATGAAGTTGCTGTGCTACAGCACGCGTTCTGCACTAATGTCTCTGCTGTCATTAGGATGATCAAAAACCAACTCCCACAGCAAAAGTCTGGTTCCTATGCCTCTTACTCAGTATCTTATGTACAGATTTATGTGTGAATTAATAATCTATGCCTTCAGCTCAAGAAAAAAGCCTTTTGTACCTCAGTCTCAAGAGATTTCTAAACTCAGGCCCTGCAGACAGTATGCGCCCATTTCCCTCTCTTCTACAGTGAATTACTAAAGCTGATGAGTGATATTCTAGCAAAAATGCTGATTCAAGAGAACGAATAGTATTCCTTCAGAACATGTTTATTCTGCTAAAAGCCTGCTCAGAGGCCAGGGGGGCAGGCAGTCCCCGCTGTGTGAGCAGCTGGCTGGCCTGGCTGGCACCCTTCCACCAGCCTGGCTCCCCCCTGGCTGGCCAGGAGCCACTTCTGCACAGCAGCTGAATCAAACCCTTCTGCTTTGCCTCTGCTCCACCGTGCCAACCATCCATTCCAGCATGGGAGGAAACAAAGTGTCAGCACCCCAGAATTTTCCACAAAGGAGAAATAAATACCCTTTTCTGGTCAGTTTTAGTCACAATCTGTATATGTTCTAGTGTCTGCTTCACTGCCCTGCAGAAGCATGGATTTAAACACAAGGAGTACTGAGGAATCAGTCCCAAGCTGGTTACATTAATCAAGTTTTTATGAATAACAAGGATGATAAAATTCTGAGCTCCTGAGAAAAGGGTTCAGTATTTTAACACTGTTATAGTTAAATGCTGCTTTCTGTGAGGCTTTTATAAGTAACTCTTCACTCAGCTACCACTCATACTACTCATTTCAAAATACTACAGACTGAAAACAGAAGACTTTTACAAGGACTTTGTCATCATGCATATGGTGCTATTCTACTCTCCATTCCCTGGAGAAATGACAAAACATCCAGATTTCTAGTTACCACTGTACTGACCCAATGAGACACCAGTATAGACTGTCCCCTGTTATTTCTAAAACAACCTCCTCCATCTTAAGAACTCCAGTTGTCTTTCCACAGCTTTACAGATCCTAATTAGAAATATTTTAGAAATGTATTTGCAAACATCACTATTGCTCTAATTAGAGAACACAGTACTAGAAGTCAATCTCACAGGCTTCTAATTTATTTCATGTTGCTCAATCAGCAGCTGTAGCCTTCTGCCCACTCCCACCAGATCTTTGTTTAAGATCAAACCTGATTCAACTGTCAGGTTGCTCAGGTGGTTTGGGTTTTTTCTGGGTTTTTGTGTTAAAAAGATGCATTCTACTGTACTTGTATTACACAAAATTATTAATTCAGCAGGAGAACTTGACCTGGTGAATTCAGCCTTTTTTCTGGAGATGCCAGCTTCTTTAAAGCACAAAGGCAAAACTGTTTTTAAATAGCTGCTTTTAATTTTTCAAGCCAAATAATTTTTCTTCTCAATAGGCAGTAACAGCTTTCAATTATGTTCTACTTCAACTCCCTTTACTTAATCCTCTTTTCAAAACAGATCAGGACACTTCTATTCCTCAGAGGTAAATTCCTGTAAGCACTGATTTCGTGTGTTTTCATTTTTAAAAATCTCACATTAATTAATTGATACATTAGGGACAGAAAATATAGTGAGTTCACCAAATAAAAATAAGTGATCAATTATTAATCCTCATGAAATAATTTCTGAGGCATGACTCATGAGTCAGCATTTTCAATGAAACGGTTTGTAAAGCAGAAATACAATTTTACTACAGTTTTGATAACATCCCACATCATATCCTACTATATATTTACTACCTCAGACATCAGTTTTTCGGCAGTATCTTACATTAATTGCAGTCACTTTAGGTCTTGTTTTCAGAAAGCAGATTGAGGAATCTTCATATTAAAAGGACAGAAAAATTCTAACAAAACAATAAAATAAATGGTAACTAGCTGTCAAAATTGGATGCTATACTACAGAGTTCATAAGAGATTAAAAGACTATTCATCACATCATTAACTGTGACTTGCAGAATATCATTGAGATCAACAACAGCATTAATAAAGTTGGAAGCAATAGCAGTGGGATGAGTTTAAAAAAACAATTGCAAGGAATGTGGGAAATTAAATTGCAGAAGTCTGATCTCTGCACAGGTAAATTGTAGGATTATAGTAAAGCACAGAGATGCTAAACATGAACATGGAGAAAGGACAGTCTCTCTGACTTGTCTGGAGGTGAACCTCCACAGCCTGTCTCAACCTGTCTCTGAACATATTTTTAAGCTGGTCAATAAAGGAGATACTGTTAATGCATTTCAATGTCTACAAACCTTTCAATAACCTTTATCTAGGTTATCTTGGGATATGAGAGATGATTATCTGATGAAGTCTGAAGAGGTGAATAACGGCTGCTTTTACAATAGAAAGCCAAAATTATTAGAGGTTACCTTTGCTGTAACCTGTGTAATTCAATATATTCACAAATGACCTAGAAATAGCAGAATGGTAAGGAGTTGTTTTATTATTTGGAGTGCTCAAATTTTACTGTAGAAAATTGCAGGAAAATCATATCATCCTGTGTGACCTGGGATAAAGAGGCATATCCAGTTCAGTGTCTGCAAATGCAAAAAAACCTACATGGGGAAAAAATGGCCAAATTATAAATGATGGTGGGGTTTAAGTTACCTCCCACTGCCTGGAAGATAAGAGATCATTTTGATTAACTGCACAGAAGCCATTCTCAAACAGACAAAGAATTAACAGAGTAGAAAACAAAACATGACTATCTTTGTCTGAATCCCAGTCCATCTGAGTCTTGAGAACACTTTCATATTCTAGATCCTCATGAAGAATAAAAGTGATCTGGAAAAATATTAAGGCAAGCTATCAAATTTTCTATAAATACTAAGCAAATTGGCAGAGGAATTACAAAGGAGGACTATAATAAAACTCCATCTGATTATGACAGACATGGAAGAGCTAATATATTGTGACGGATAATCCCTTTCTCTTACAACAGCAACTCATCAAAGGCCATCAACTTTGACCTTTTTGGTAAATATTTTAAAACAAAGGGAACTATCTTCCTCTTACAACAGTGAAACCCTAGAACTGTGTGACAGAGATAAAAAATAATGAATTAGCTTATACAGGTAAAAAAAAATCCAAATAAAAGTTGATCAACACGTAATAGATGTATATTGATGTAAATACTAGGAATGTTTCTAAAGGCCAAAGTTGCCAAAAACAAAGGGAGAAGTATTTTACCTTATTTATTTCTTGCATCCTTTCAGGACCTGCTACTGGCCACTGCCACAGTAGATAGATAGTTGAGCTGCAAGTACTGTCTTTATGATAAACTTATTTAGAAATTACAGGCTTGATTTGGGTCCTGCAATTATTCCTCTCTCCTCCCCACCTCAAACTCTGCTGCAGTTATTATATGTTAATTTCTGTTTCCACATAGAATTTATCCCTGCATGTTTACGTCTTCGCCAGAGCTATGTGCTGTCTGAGAAGTGACCATGCCTTTGACCTCATGCTCTTGGAATAAATGAGCATATTTAGATCTTCATCCCTCAGGAAATTATTTTATAATAAGATATTAGCACTGAAAAGCACTACCACAAGGAATTCAATATCTTCCCTGCTGGCTCACCAAAGTTTTCTATCCCATTCTGTTTAGAAACCCTGAATAAGCACCTGGAACACCTTGGGCTTTGTGGTGATGGCACAGAAGCTGAAGATCAGATCCTTGAAAGTTTGAATGGGATTCTCCTGGCTATTACTGAAGATAGTTAAGTATCACTCTGGATCACGAATTAACCACTTGCACAATTCAAAAGAATTCATGGCAGGTTTTGTTTATTGTGATAATCTATTTCAAGAAGTGATTGCTGCTGAACTATAGCTGTCCTCAAGCTGTGTTGCTTTCTTTTCTCTCAGTATAAAACTCACAAAATTACCTGTCACCACATAAAGTTTCTGGTCACTAAAATACCAAACACTCCAGAGAAATTCCAGGTTTAATATCCTATTTATTACAAACTCCTAGGATTAATTTAGGGTGACCTTATCAGGTCAGGCATTTTAAAAGTAGTTTCTAGGCTACTTATACAAAAGTCCCTAAAGCCTTTGCACATTCTCCTAAAATGACATGAACCTGCATTTATGTGAGTCACCTGGCAGATGGTGTTTTACTATCTTCAGGACAGCTGGCCATATTTTTGATGAAAAAAGGCTAAGGGAATTGTCTGTTCTAATTGCTAGTCTAATAAAAGATGCAGTGCCTACCTACAGAATTAATTGCTAGGCCATACCTCAGGAATAGCATCTTAATCCCTGACTTCCCATGCCTTATGCAGGCATCCTTTTATAGTCAGAGAAGATGAAACTGTTTTCCTCTTTGCCTTGCCACCCCTGCTTCAATTCAGCATAAAGCAGAGTAATCAGCTGGAACCACACTTGCTGCAATTCAAGCAGATGACTGTGCCCATATATTCAGTCTCAGACAGCCTTTAAGAACCTTGTTAAATCAGAGGCTTGGATCCCACAGATAGCCACTCAGAACTCTAGGAAACAAAGGAACATGTGAATAAAACAGCTGCAAACCTACTGCAGGTACTGCTAACACTCTTATCACTGCAGAGCAGAGATCCTTCCACCTACTCAGAGGGAGTAAGATCTTCCCAACTTTGGCAAAAATCCTGAAGGGCAATCCACGATGTGCAGTGAAGGCAGCCCATGTGCTCTCAGAGATAGCCAAAAATGGTGAGTCATCCTCAAATATTACTACAAGGAATCTTACAGCACATTAGCTTCATGTTTTCACTCTTGAATTTTGTTTCACTGCTACCAGCTACTCCTATTGCAATTGTTTTATTCCTACATGGCAAAAGCCTGGAATTCCCTCTCTTTTTTCTACACAGAGGAAATGAAGAAACCATGTATTGAAGCAGATTTGGTTCTAACACTGATACCTTTGCTTGAGAGCACAGACCAAGAAATGCTGCTCCATGCTGGGAGGGCCATTGGCCGTATCTGTTACGATAACCGTAAGTATCCACTGAAGAGAATCTGCTTTTCCCTGGCTCTAAGGCATTCTTTAAAAGGCATTGTAACCTGTAACTCATAATAACTTTATGAGACCTGAGCACATATGCACCTCAGCCTCCAGTTAGGTATGCAATTCACAGAGCTCACAGACACCTGGCTGAATGTACCCCAAGCACTGCCTGAACTCTGGGCTTCCCCCCTACGTTTCTGCTTCAAGTGGCACAAATCTGTCAGAATTGCTTTGAAATCACAAGAGGAGCAGAGCCTCACACGTATCTTAACCAATTGTGCAGACTTGCCTTGGGTCCAAATCCTGTATAGCTTGGACGTCTTACAAAGTAATAAGAACATCTATAAAGCAAAGCACTTGTTTAAAAAGTGTGTTGAGAAAAAATAGATAAAAATACTGAGATATTTATCTGTGCAAGGAATAGATTTCTCTAAGAACTGCTTGCATGCAGGAGATCTTTGTGCTCCAAATTCCCTGGACACCAGCTTACTAGCTGGTCTCACAAGTTAAACAATTTTAATTTACTTGCCCAGAACAGTTTAAGACTTTTTTTACCTTTAACTCCCAGACTGCCCAAAATATCTACGCTATACTGAAAGTAATATGGAAATTTTTACCTTTAACTCCCAGACTGCCCAAAATATCTACTCTATACTGAAAGTAATATGGAAATTTTCACCCAGTATCTTGTATCCATTACTCTCTGCCTTCAATCTCTTTTCTCTAATCATTCTAGTGTGGATCTGCACAACTTTACTTAGAAATTTGTGGGTTTGCCTCCTTCACTGTTCTTGTGAAATCCAAGCATGATAGGTAGCTAGTATAGATTCCACTAAGCTCCCTGTGAGTTACATGTATTGGTCAGGGAATGACACAATAGTCTAAAAAACCTTTTCTCTAAAATTTCATTCCCAGCTCATGTAACTCCTGTACACAGCAGTGCTGCAGCATATGGCCATCCTGCACATCTGCTCCCCTTCTGGCAGAGCACAGGCCCAGCACAGATTTGCCAAGACAACTGTGACATGCTTTAATAAATCCTATTACTAGCACAGCAATAAATGCATCAAAGAGAAGAAAAATTAACTTCACTTATTCCCTGTCTGAATTTCAATTGCTGTGCTACAATAGCACCAGACTCTTCCTGGTGTCTGCCATGCACTCTGTCACACAAGCAGCAGCCCAGCTCTCAGCAAGACACTGCTGCAAAAGCAATGTCATTGTGCTGTTAAGCAACCATCACTGTCCAACTTTGTATCTTACAGTTCTTGGTACCATCAAAATAATTTCAGATATTAAGCTTTTATTCATTACAAAAGTAACTACAAAAAGAAAGAAAACAGTTATCAGGGTTTTCCTCAGGAAGCACACGTGGATGGAGACAGTGGCTTAATACCTTAAGTCAAAGACAAACCAGGAGGTTTAGCAAAAATCTGTACCAAAGCTGCATTAGCCTGGAGCCACTACCAAAAGCTTCACAAATTCTAACTAACACTGTGAGACAGAACCAGACTACCTTGCTGCTAAGCATCTCAGTTGGACCCTTTCCACTGGTTTAATCAGTACCTGATTTAACCACCTTTAACACCTCTGCTTCTCTGACCAGGCAGCCTTCAGGAAGAGCTGGTGAAGGTTGGAGTGATCCCATCACTGGTCCGAATATTAACTGACTATGCAGACAGTGAACCTCTTGTCCACGTTGCTCTGTTGGCCTTGTACAATCTGGCAGACCTTGGTAAGTAAGGTCTTTTTTAAAGTTTTTTTAAGTTTCTGCATCTTAGAGTAAAATATCATCTCCACCCTATCACTGCCTTTCCATGCCCACAGGTTTGTGGGTTTTGTTTGTTTTCTCCTTTGTTTTTGGGGTGGGGTAGGGCTGGTGTTTGGGCTTTGTTTTTAAAACACTAATGATATCTAATCAGGAACTGGCCACAGTTCCCGATATGGATTGGAAAAATAACTACTCTTTTATGGAGTACCAGCAATTACTTATACTACATTATAAAAATTAAGTTTTAACAGCCAGCTTTTGACCCCAAATGAAGTTATGCCATCTCTTCATATGATAAATTGACAGTTGCAACTACTTCAGATTTGGTGCATTAAAAGCTTTTTTATTAAAACTTCATTTCTATTTAATAATTAAGTTTCTAAACCTTACTGAAACAGTTACCATTTCAATTTACACAATTTTCCAAGAAAAAGCATCTCTCTACTAATTTAAAACATATTTGCCCTACTTTACACAAGTTATGAGAAGTAATGGAAGCAAAAGATCAAGTACAAAGTTAGGACCACTCTCTATATATGGTCTGGCTAAAATTTGATCTACTTCTTCCTGCATTTAGGGGGATATGCAGGGAAGGGACATGATATCACACTGTCAAATTATTCTCTAAGGAGGTCTGTCCTTGTTATATCTCTTCTATTATTTAATACCATATTCAATTGAAATGTATTCTATGTCAAATAGTGGCAAGCTTTGCTAACACCCATCCTGCAAATGTTTAGGATGCCAGCAAGACTAGAAGCACTAATCAAGGCAAAAAATAGACTGCTACAGCAAATTGACATGTGCCAATTGTTATATTAAATAATATACTACAAACGGACTTGTACGAGTCAGTGAAATTAAGCCAGGATTAATTTGATACCTATGAGGTCTACAGAAGTTACAGTAAAACAGCTAAAGAACTTTGGGAGGAGAAGGGATAGAGTTCTGCTGTCTCAGTGCTGTCCAAAGAAACAGAAGAGTCTACAAGAACAGAAAATGCCTTCAAAAACAGTGCCTAATCACTTTAGATCACAGGGAGATATTTTTAAATGTTTAATCAAATAAAAAAAATTCAAAATCCTGACTTTATCACATACACAGACTCAGCCAAGGAAGCTCTAAGCATGACAAAAGTTGCTGAACAACTGGTGAAACAACTGAGGAGAGCTGAGAGCCATGAGAAGTTAGAAATTGTCTTTGAGGTCCTGCAAGCACTTGCAGAAAATGGTAAGGCTCCTTTTGGTCTGGGGGGAGCAAGGGGAGACTGGGTATTGTACTGGCCTGGGATCCAAGTTTGCCATGGAATCCTGCTAAGGGAACATTCTGGGAGAAATCAGCCCCAAGACCATGTGAGATCCTGGCCCAAACAACACATGAACAGGTGAGACAAGAAAGAAAGGAAGGAGAGAGTACCATTCCACTGCATTTCAGTCAATCCAAAAGACAGCAGAGTCATACTTACTCTCCATGGTTGATTAAGAGGAAAGCAGCAACATAGCTAATTTTTTTTAATTTTAAAAATCAGAACAACCAGGTACCGGTTCAATCCCTGTCTGGGCCATTGACTTAAGAGTTGGACTCGCTGCTCCTTGTGGATCCCTTCCAGCTCAGAATATTCTGTGACTCTGTGAAGATGCACACTCTAAGCAGCAGTACAACAAGCACTGACACTGCTTCACTAAAAATATCTCAATATCTGGCACAGATTTTAAAGACATGAAAGTTCATGACTGGCAGCACAAGAAATGTCAAAGACCAATGCAGAAAGCTTTGCTCATTCTGCCTTGGTGTCATCCTAGCTCCAGAAACCTGTTACAAGCAAAACCAAAACAGTGACTGCACCTGAAAAACAACTGGCTAAAGTTCAAGGATTTAGCTTTCTAGTTTGAAATGCTTCCAAAATGAGCCAAGAACCTTTTAATGTGCTTTTACTGTGATCTCTACAGATGCTCTGAAAGTGCAGCTGGTGGATGCAGGTGTGCCAGAGGTGCTGTCCGAGATCCTGCTGAGGCTCCAAGGCAGTTCCCAGGCTGAAGATACATGCATTATGAAGGCTGCATCAGATCTCATTGTCTCTCTGCTTCTTGGAGGTAAAAAGGGGAATATTACTGGCCAGGTATATAAAGAATCAACATCCAAAAGTTTCTTTAGCAGGAGAATTTCCATTTTTGTTGGCTTCTTTTACTTAAACAGGGACCTATTCACAATCTCTTATCATTCTTGCAGGAAGTCTTCTTAGGCACGACACTTTTCATTTCTATAGCCTATAGCCCAGTGCTTGTGCCTAACAGTAACTTAGTTTATATTACTCCTATGCTGCACTTTGGGCAATACAGATTAAAAAATAAAATATCAAGAACTGGCCGCTTACACTGCATCCCACCACTCTCAACCCCAAAGCAATCAACAACATAAAGGTCTTCAATTACTAACCTTAACAACAAACTAAGTCATCACTGACTGACAGAACAGCTCAGTTTGGGGGCTAATTATAATCAGATATGAAATAGTCTCTATTTCTCGTAACACAAATAAGTACTTAGAGAAGGTTTTTCCTAAGAGCGCCATCATCTCTTAGAACACAGATATTTGCACCACATCTAGACACTTGCAGGTACCAAGACAGGGACAAGGCTTATTGCTAATTTTACAAAAGAAATGGTATGGTTGGTTGTTCTCTACCCTTCAAAGATGGAAAGCCGCTGTTTGTGAGCACAGAGAAAACCAACTCTATCAGATTTCACTACTCCCTGGTTCTAAAATAGTTACTTTCCGTTCTGCAGATTAGAGACTTGCATGTTTTTAAGTTACAGATGCTACTGATACTAAAATAATTTGGAGGCCACAATTGTAAACAAAGGGGTGATCAAGTATGCAAGCCTTCACACTTTTTTTTTTCTGAACCACACTTCATTAGAGTGGAGACTCTGGAAATACTTAATGGCAAATATGTTTGTTAGAAATAAAAAAACAAAACCCCACACACCAAAAAAAACCACCAAAAACACACAGAAAAAAAAACCCAAACAAACAAAAAATCAGAGTTACTGCTGTTTTATGTTTTAAATCAGTTTTAGGAAGGGAGGTTTGCTCAGACATTCAAATGGGAAGAAATCTCAAGATAAGCCATTTTATTTTTCAATTCCTATTGTAGAAAGCAATGAGCCTTTATACTCTTGAGAGAGATATTCTTATGAGCAGACTCCTGGAAAACATGCTGTACTCAATCAATCAGCAAAAGATCCTCCCCACACTTCCTGTCCTATCTCACTGATTGCTACTGTACTGGCTTCAAACTCAATTAACAAAATTGCTCAACTTTCTGTGTGCATATTCTCAGTTCAGTCAGAGAGAAAAAGAGAAAGATTTGCGCCAGGCTAAGCCTGGGAAAAAGTCCAGGAAGAACGTAAACAATCTATTATCTTGTTTTCCATTCATATGGTTTATAGATATGTTCTACCACACTGACCTAAGTCCAAGTGTACCAATCAAGTGAAATGTTTTTACTTTAAAACCAATAGAATTAATGTTCACAATGTTCTCTATAAAAGAGAGAAGTGCTTTTGAATAAAAATCATTCTTTGCCTTCTGAAGATAGAATCTCTTCATTCCCGTCCCTGCCTTAACAGCAACATTCTGCATTAATAGGCACTTAATTATTAGAAAAAAATCCCTCACATCTGTCTTAATGTTGGTTTGGGTTTTTTTTTTTTAAAGCAAGCTATCATCCACACATCTCTTCACCTCCACCTCACAACCTTTCTAGACTCCCTTTCTTCCTTGCCTTATACCTCGCTCTGAATCAGCCATTGTGCATCATGGCTCTACAAAGGCCACAGAAGTGCCCCCAGTGCCTTTAACTGGCTATTTCAATTTACTCAGCTGAATGGCTTGCTTTGTCACTCACTCTTCTCCCCCCATCTTCCCCACTAGATGTTTCATGTGGAAGAAGTGAATAATCCCTCTCATGCCTCAGTGTGTGCCACTGATGTATGCACAGCTTTTAATCTGAGAGAAAAAAAAATCCTATGGAAATCTGTTCTGAGCATCAAATGACTTCTAGGCAGTGAAAAGATGACAGACAGCTTTTGCAGCTATGAAAAGTGGCTGTTCCTATCAGACTTTAACTATGAGCCATTAAATTGAATGTTCTGCTGCTATCCAAGCAAAAACTCCATTGGAGAGAAAAGCAATTTGAAGCTCTGTGACAATCAAAGCAAGGCAACCACTAATGGGCTCTGCCTATTTGCACTTTACTACATGAGGGGAAAAAAAAAAATGTTCTGACATTCTTCAGTTTGAGAGGTGGGGGAAGGAGAGAAATTAAGTTCAATTAAGGTTGGTCTATATGAAGATCAAAATCTTTTCCCCGTAGAATTTTATCAGACCAAAAGAGGTGACCTATTTCTATGGAACCTGCTTTTAAAGAGGACTAGGCAATTTTCCTCATATACTCTGATCTCCAAAGATTAGGACTAGGCAAGAAAGCACTTGAAGAATGACAAGCAAAACCATCAGCTTTAGAGAATATATGCATAAAATAGTATCAAAAGATTTCTGTGTGAGTAGAATCCTAACTACTTCACAGAGTTCTCTCATGAAAATATCCAACTACATTTGACAAATTCTGATCTAACATATGTAAGAATACAGAGAAAAAACAGGTTACTAAGTGAAATGTTAAGAGATTAAGAGAATAATAGGCACTCGTTCAAAAAACAACAGAAGTGTCTATGACTTTGAGGTGGAAATAACATCCAAACCATGAGAAGTACCGTTGCATACAGTTAGAGATATTTTTTTTTTAAAAAAGGCCTTACTGCTGAATTACCAGCTAAGCCTCTAAGTTCCCATAAGAAAGAATCAAAGGAATGAGAAAGGTTCTCTTCTGGTAAGAGAACCATTTGCAGCTGCAAAAAAGGAGTCCGTCCCATGAGAATCCACAAAGAAAATATGTAAACACCTGGGTAAAGAGAGAGTCTTAGCACATAAACACACAAGCATTTTCTAACTAATTAATTGAGTGGAAATAAAGTTATTAACCAACTAGAGTTATACACAAGGTCTTGAAAACTATAAAAAATGGGCTTTAACATTTGGCTTTTCTGCATGAAGAAACTGAGTCCCGTCTGCTTATTACTGCAACAAAGTACTGGAGCTACTGTTGGCCAGACCATGTATTTGCATGAGGTGTGTACAGGTCCATGGATAACCCTTTATTCCAGGTGAATATATCTTTGTATTTAGTGTTCACACTGTTTTGCCATTTTTAATAAGCAGCTTTCACAAGGTAAAAGCACACAATAAGGAAGTGTTCATGTGTGTCAGGTATATACTTCTCTTGAGGCATAACAAACTGCATAAAGCAAAATACAGAAAATTATTTTCCAAATGGCATCTTCAAAACACTTCCTTGAGAAAGGATCCCATCTGTAGTATAGAGGGCTTCCTTTGGCTCTTTAGCAGAACTCTCATTTTCTAGGTGAGCTAAGCAGCTTCTGAAAACAAAGCTGCCACACCTATATGGAGCAAATTTTCAAAGACAGGAGGTGAGATCCAGACATGCACTGACAAAATACTTGCAGAGCATTGCTGGGCAAAGTGGTAGTTTTCTGGAATGTACAAATCTGCTCTTTCACTGGGATTTAATAAACCAGATCTCTCCAGGTCCAATCATATTTTCTGAGCTTCATGTGAGTGTAACACAAAAAGACTTCTCATTTCAGAAAATGGGTTTTTCAAAAGAGGTAAGAAAAACCTGGCTCTGATTCTTTCAAGGAGTCATTAATGACTATTTATTTCATAGAAAATAAAGAATAACAGCAGCACAGAACTAATAATCAGATTTACCATTGGTGGGCAAGATCCCTGGTTTCACAATAGAGCCTTAAATCAGTAGAATAGCAAAATTAAAGGAGCTGGTGAGAAGCAAAAAATGCCATTGGTATTCTACTACATGTGTAGTGGAAAATGCAGCAGCACTGAGGGAAAAGAAAAGGACTGGGGAACCTATGGTTTTGAATTTGACAGTGATTGTCCCTTGATAGCTCTCTCGAGCTAAGCTCCATTGGAGTCTGTCTCAGCATCAGTTTACAGGTAGCTGATACTTGCCTCTAAAGAGCTGAAGGTAAGAAAAAACAATGCAAAAGCTACAGTCTTGATCTTAGCAACAAATGAAAATAGTCAAGGCAAAGGCTCCCTGAATTCTGAATTTGCATCATTGTGTTTCTTACCTCTCTCACCTGCTTGGTTCTGCCTCTCTCTTCAGATGGCAACTGCCTGCGAATGTTCCAGCTGGGAGTCGTGCACCAGCTCCTGGATCTGCTGGAGAAGCAGGTGCAGAGCGGGGACACCTCTGTCCAGCAGGCTGCTCTCAGCGCCCTGCAGAGCCTCGCAGTTCCAGGTGCAGCCTGAACACAACACCCCATTGCTCCCTCTGCACAGGTCATCCCTGCAGCTCTGCCCAAGCACCAGCACCAGGCCCCTGGGTTTTGAGGGGCAATTGACCTTTTTCCCCTCCCCTGCAAGAACATATATTTGAATAATTCACCAGGAATTCCTCATCTACATAAAGAGTTGAAATACCATAAAGTGTAATCTCATTACTAGCTGCTGAAGTAGTTTCATATTAATAGCATACAACAGCTCAAGACAAGAAAAATCAGAACAGGGTTCATGACTTAAAACACAGAGAATGGAGTGGAGACGCCTGGTAGGGATGTCCAACTTTCTCTTCTATAAAGCTAATATTCATTCATATTTTACAGAACCAGTAAATCTTAATGTTCTTTGAAGCTGCATTTTAAAAAGCTCAACTCAATTATAAAATATCAACATACAGCATTTGGATTATCTGTTCTGTTCAAGTCTGTTACAAATAATTTTAGATGTTTCCAAGTGTGTGGACACTACAATATACTTTTCCTCATCAATTCATAAAAATATCTGTAATATCTGTTAGGTAGTCTCTAACAGAAACACTTCTAGAAACACAAGCTCTATCACTTTCAACAATATAATCTGCTACCTGAAAAAGAAAAATGAAAGACACTGAGTGGAAATCCATAAACATGAATTAAATATTGGTGAACACTTGGAAATAGACATAGAACTCTTCAATTCAAGCATTGATTTTAAAAGATAACAGATGCTTATAAAACATTTAAAAGTCATTATGATCTAGTAAAAGGAGTCAGTCTTTGCCACTGAAAAACAGGGACATCAAGAGCAAGTTACTTAATAAGGTGTGCTTCTCGATTTGCCCAATAAAAGGATGAGGGATATAACAGTTCTCTCCCTAATTTCACTGTCCAATCTTCCTCACCACTCTCCCAAAAATATATGCAGAAGATAGGAAAAAGATTGCTCTGGAGGAAGCAGCTTTTGGCACCACAGTTAAGCAGTATTAAGTCTTCTTGCAGACAAGCTTCTGATTATTACAAAGGATTTACTGCACCAGCTACTGGAGCAGAGGAAAGCACAGAAACAAAAGCACAAACAACAGGGCATCAGTGAAATCTAATACAAAAAGAAAAGCCATTTCCAAGAACTATGGCTGAATAAATCACTTCTGCCCCCCAGTTAAGATGAGCTAGCACAGAACAGGCTGTGTGACTGGGCAAGTGGATGCATAATCTATTACAACTAGAAAAGGAAGAGAAACAACAATGTTGTGTTTTATGTACTTTTTTCTGGGTCAGGCTAAGATCAAAAGTAACCAAAACTACCCAAGAGCAGCTCCTATGAAAGTTTTAACCGAAAAGAGAAGTCTAAGCAATCGGGTAGTCCTGAATTGATTTCTGAGCTCGCTAACAAGGTGGACTTTTTACTAGAAGCCAAACACAGCACACAATTCACATGCACTTATGTCATATCTACATTTTCAAGTGTTTGAGCCTGACATCAACCCCTCTTTCCCATGTTCTAGTTGTCAGCAAGGTTCAGATGCTGGAGGAAGGTGTCGCAGAGCGGATCGAGGCGCTTCTAAGGGCAGAGAGCCCCCCTGTGCAGTTCAAACTCCTGGGAACACTACGGACCTTAGCAGATGGACAAGGTAGGCACCTGCCTGTGCTCACTGAGACCAGCCTCAGCTCCCCTCCTCCCTTACCCTGCAAAACAAGGCTGTGCAGGATGGGCTGAGTGTCCTGCTAACCCAATTCCACTCCATCTGGAGAGCTTCCAGCAGAGATTATTGCCAGAGGCTGCACTCTTTCCAGACTGCCCCAGTCAGCCTCAGAGGTAGTTGAGAAACAAACCACATGGAACGAATCTGTAGCAGTCAGTGAGAGCAGGCAAAGGCCCAAAAAGATGTTTTTCAGCAGCGATTCAGCAGCAAGGCATGAGTATGATGAAAAAGAGACAGGTTTTAGTGTCAAATCACAGGACAGCAAATCAATAAAGAACTAGAGAACATAAAAGGAATAAAGGGAGTTAGCAAGGCAGGAGAAATTAATTTCTACCAGTCCTTCTATACATGTTGCCAGTTTTATCTTGCTCATGTGGCTCAAATGTTGAATTTACTTTTCATGTCAATGTTTTAGATTATTTACTTGTATTTCATTCAGTTTAGCACAGAGGAGGTATGCAAAAGCAACAAGAATCTTTCTGTGCACACTGTTGCATTTTGAGAAAAATGCACCATGTCAGAATTACATTAAGATATACTCCAATATCCTAATTTATCCTTAGGCTTACTTAGCTCTTAGCAGACCATGACACAAAACAAATGTCATGCAGTTTAGTACTGTCTTTCATATTGCCAGAGCAGCTGCTCTAGAGTACTAATCAGTAGAGATTCATTGATATGCAGGAATAACAAGTTAAAACTAGAATAGTTATGGCCATTTTGTGATGGGAAGTGATAACTGACATAGGACAATTAAAGACATCACTTCATTAGCTATATAGAAGAGGATAAAAGCTCACTCTGCTACATTCCATGCTGCACTCCATTGCACTACTACAAACACCACTTAATATAAGAACTATTTGCATCTTTTATCAAACTAGCATGCATGATAAAAAATTTAGATCTAGTCCTTCTATTAATTTGCACTACTTCCAGTCCAGTGAAAAGCTGCTTTCACTTACATTTCTCTGTGATAGGAAATGAATATTGCAAGACACATAGAAACCTAGCATCTTCTTGTTCTGAGTTTGAAGAAGTCATTGTAAGATAACTTTGGAGAAATTATCTCAATTGTGACAAGGTGTTTGACATTTAAAATTGAGCCATCACAGTAACACAGATCTAAATTATCAAACACTAAATTATCTTTTTTAATTTTATTTACCAGCCCTAATACAAACTTGGAATTTGGCACAAGGTACAACTTCTGAATCTGAAACAAATTAATTATCAAAATGCAAAGTAGAATAAAATGTGTAGGAGACTCAATGTTTATCTATTCCCACCTATGAACACACAATTCTCCCACTTTTAATTATCTTCTATTCTGTTTACCCATAAGATAACATCGCCTTTAATTAACTCAGCCTGAAACTCTTACGAACACACATCTACTAAGAAGTCCACACTAAATTAGTCAATTGCCTTATCATTACTCTATCAGCAGGTATGCTGAGGCTTACAGACTAGAAGAAGCAGGTTTCTTCCTAACCACAGAAAACTGCAGGCAGATCTCTAAATTTAGAGACCTTAACTCCTGATTCTTCCATTACTTGCATTTAAAAGAGCAGAATAATTTGTGCCCTTCAGTAGCCAAAGTACTTTCACCAAAACTGAAAGTTCAATCTTATAAAATGACAAATTTGAATAAATTGTAAGTAAGTTAAAGGTTAAGAAAAGTTATTCCTGTTAAGAATTACTAACTGGGGTTTATCTTAAAGAGCTCTACTGCCTGTCAAACTGAGTAAAGAACCTGCCTTCACCACAAATCTCATACTGGTTCCATCCTCCAGCCTCTTACCTCAACTTCCTGTACTAAGCTGGATTACTGTGATCTCTGCAGACTAACAAGGAGCACCTGACTAGAAACAAGTCTTGTGTTACAGGAGACAACATGCAGACAGCTCTGCAATGCCCAGTAACTCTTGTCTCAGAACAAAGTATGCCAGCTAGGCATAGCTAGTAAACTCCCAGATTCCTTGTGGGATTTTGACCTGTGGATTGTTCCTTAGCATACTGGGCTAATTAAAAAGCAAGTGTGTGTACTTCCCCATCTCCCTCCCCCAAAACAGACAGAGCATAGGCTGGCTTACAGTTTCTAGAAAATGTCCAGAGCAATCATGTAGTTTATTGACACTGACCATGGTGGTGCATGCTCCATCTGATTCTTCCAGCATATCTCAAAAGAAACACAGTGCACAGAGAAAGGGAGGTAAAGGAACAGGAGCAGGATGATGCCTCTATCAAACCTATCCCTTCTGTTACAGATGTTCACATAGAGTTCCACTTCCCAGGACAAGTTATCTAGCAAGGTTTTTTTCAAATGTCAACCACAGACACCAATACTTCTAGCAAGTCCTGAGATAGGGTTCCTGAAATGCAAATTAAAAGGCTCTTCCGCAGTAAGGGGAATTTCTGATAATGCCTTATACACAGTTCAACACACATTCTTAAGACTCAGGTCATCCAATTACTGACATGCTGCCAATTCTGTACTAAGACTTGGGTTCCCACACTACCAACAGTAATGAATTATCACCAAAGCAGCACAAACATGCTCCCAAGAGCCCACAATTACATTTGTGCAGGGCTCAAAATGCAAGGGCCAAAAGCCAAGCGGGAAAGGGCAGGCTTCCTGAAGTATCACAACAGAATATTTGTTTTCAAAGACAGAAAGCTGCTTATTTTAAGCCCTACTTCAGCAGCCCTTTTAAAATGATAGGTCTATTGACACAGCTTATTTTGTCCTTCCCCTGCACGATTCCTTTGTAAAATATTTCCTAGATCTTTTAACAGCTCAGGGCTTCAGCTAGAGTTCTTAAAGGTTGCTGAGCACAGGTCCACCACCTCAGTTATTTCTACATTGGCATTCCTGTGACAGACTGACTGAGGGGTCTGATTTTGAATGCCTCTGGGTGATGCTTTTCTCTGCAGCTGATGCAGCCGAAATCCTGGGCCAAGACCCGCAGCTGCTCAGCAGGCTGGTGCAGTGGTGCAGCGTGAGCGACCCCAGCGGCATCTGCGGAGAGGCAAACCGGCTGCTGGCTTCCATCCTGCACCACAACAGATCCCAGGTACCACAACCCCTGCTCCCATTTCTACTTCACCCTGCTCAAATATTCTTAAAGGTTGTAGACAGAGCTAATGATTAAACAGCACATGCAGCTTTATAATGAACACCATGAAGGTTCACAGTGACAACCTCTCTGGTCTGCCTCAATACCAGTAAGGGGGAAACCTGTGCACCCCATAAGCACAGACAACTCACAAAAATGAGCACCATAGTCACTTACTGTGACTTGTCAACACTGACCCTGCTTGAGTAAGGCTTGACAAATGGTAATTAGCAGGTCAAGCTTTTCTATGGCCATAAATATGTTTCAAATTTCAAATTAAAGCTGTAAAAGCAACCCAGAGCAGTCCTAAATGCCTGTCCTCTGGAAGCTCCAAAGAGCCCACTTATCCATGATGGACAAATCTGGCATGATCTTCACATGCTGGCATTTTCTAATAGGCTTCTGTTTTTGGTAAGTTGTGCTATTACACACAAGCATCCAAGCCATGCTTTATTATGAAGTAGTGACTAAAAAAGTAGATACTCTCTGCAGAGGCTTTGGTAAAGCAAGACTAATCCTTGCTAGTTTGATGGATTGAAATGAAAGAGTGTAATAAGGACAAATTGAAACAAGACATATATACATTTATCTGACAGATATGCATCTATAGCTAATTCTAAGTATTCGTATTCCAGTTATATTAGACCAGGCCTAAGTAGACATGTATGATCAGTGCCAAAAGAAATGTCATCCCTAATCTTTGAATATTGTCAGTTTGCAGTGCAGCAAACAAATAATTTCCCTCTATTCAGAAGCTGAAGGGTGCAATCTCATTTCCCTCTTCATTTTACTGCATTCCTACATTAGATTTCCATCTGTTTTACCTTTGCTTTCACAGGAAGTGGTCAAAGCCATCCAGGCAGCACAAGGAGTGAAGCATCTGGTTTCCATGACAACAAATGAACATGCTGCCATGCAGAATGAGGCTCTGAATGCCTTGGCAATAGCTTCTGCCATTGATTTAGGTATTTTCCTCCTAAAAGCATTTACCTGTGCAAGATACTCAATTATTAAGAAACACTGTCATGCTGTTAAATTCTAGGTAACATGTATGAAAAAGCATGTTTCTTGTCTAGATTTAGCTCTTCAGCATGAAATAAAGGTTGTCACCATTCAGATCATAAAATCAACAGGCTTTAGGAACGGCCTGAAGGCTCTTTTTACTTAGGATCGAGTCAAATTATCATACTGTGTGGACAGCCACTATTTGAGTAGCATAATATGATGCTAGAAACCTACACAAAAAAAAAGTAGGAAAGTGGAGGTGATGGAGATTTAAAAAAAGATAATAAAGGCTAGATGAAGGACAAATAGATGAAGATTGTAAATAGCAGAAATAATCTTCAGACTATGAGGACAGAATAAACCAGAACCATAAATAAAAAGGTATTGTAGAAGCTGCAAATAAAACAAGTAAAGATTCAAACTAATTTTCCTGAGCTTATTTTCAGAGTTACATAAAAATTTCTTCAGATTTTTCCTGTATAACTTGAAAATAGGTCTGAACTTCTTACAATAAAGAGATGCCACAAATCTATGTACATCAAAAGGTAAATTGAAAATAAAAACTTGACATTTGTCATTTTCTTTACCCACACATAAGACTGAAGAGCCCATTTTACTGCTTGTCTACCATTAAAACTCTCAAACTCATTTAGGCAATTAATGGAAATCAACATTTCTAGCACTGAACATTGCAGGTTTTAATTTACTACAAGGTTAACTATATACAGTCAATATATGACTGGTCCCATCTTCAAGAATAAGGCCAATAAAGAAATTCTGTACAGAAAAGAGCACAGAAATTCTTCAGTGCAGAAGACAGATGCTCGAGACCTTCCTGTATAGCCAGTTCGAAATGAAGCCAGTCCAGAACTTTCTTTAAAAAAGGAAGAATAGTCACTTTATAATTTCTTTCTAGATAACAGCTCAGGGTTATCATTTATTTGTTTATTTTTCAGAAACTCTTGAAGAATCTTTTAAAGAATCACAGCTAGTTCAAAGCTTACACAAACTTCTACGAGATGATAACACTAGTCCTGAGGTGAAATACAACTCAATGGGCCTTTTGTGCAGACTTCTTAATTCAGGTAACTTAAAATTAAGTTATCTGTGATGGAAGGATGAATATTTGTGAAGACAAGTGGTTTCTGTTACCAAAATATGCTGCCTAAAATGCTCCAATGAATGAGTATCAGATATTCACTCTGTATTGATCACCAAAAATCATATTCAAGTAGTTTCCTTCTCTAGGAAAAGCTGATTAAACCATTAGTTGAATAAAATAAAAAAGAGAGGAAGGCTTCATTCCAGTCAGTCTGTGGCATAACTAAGTCCCAAAATAGCAAAATTAGTCTTGGAGTAAAAGCATATTTGTCCAACTTCACCGTGCACTAACACCTGGCAGTCCCAGGGTATTTCTGTGTCCACAGAAAGTCCGTCCCATGCTCATAGGCAGGCATACATTTGTTCTGCCTGTGCTGTGAGCAGACCAGAAGCTGAGATAAAGCAGCCATTTTAGCAATGCTGCCTTCACACAGAGGCTTTCAGTAAAGCATGTGAAGGGCACAATTTCAGTTTCACTCCATGGTCAGGGAAGACTTCAAATGCTTCCAGCAGGCTGGGACTATGCTGGATGTGTAGCACTAAATGAAAATGAGCATCTTGAAACCAGGAGTCCAAAAATCTTGTGGCAATTTCTCACAGCTTAAAACAAAAATTATATAAATTGAAAATAACAATTGTATTTGGGCAAGGATGGAACACAATGTGAGCTGCCTTTGAAATCCTTGAGCCACCCTGTATTGACAGACAAGCTGGATTTTGCAGTATACTCTACTTTATCCCTGTAGCCACACAGATATTGCAATAGGGATAAAGAACTTGTAGCTTTCAGTGCGACTATGAAGTATTGACATAACAGATATGATCTATAAGACTTTTTTTCCAGAGATGTATATACATAGCATTTTATAGACTAACTGTAAGGCTAGGAGTTGAGTCTTACTAATATGGAATGGTAGCAAAAAGCATACAGGCAAAAAAGTGCCAGAAATTGTCCTGTATTAGAATTTCAAAATCTGGGTTTTTTTCAATCAGCTCTTGGAAGTCAAGCAGGAGGAAAAAACCTTAATCTGTCCAATACTTCCAATGGCTGAAAGGTATGTATTGAAAAAAAAAAAAGTTTTAATTGAAGCAGCTTATTACAAACAGCAAGTACTCCAAACTTTTATTTCACAATTGTTGGGAACCGCTATGCCATGGCAGGTAACTAAAAGTCATCATTTCATCTCCCATTCAGGTGATCTGAGACAAGAAATAGAAGAGGACAAGATCAAAGACACCCTCGAGAAACTCTGCAGTCACAGCAATGCAGACGTGGTCAAGGGAGCCACCACAACATTACAGGTTCTGAGAGGAGAAACACCCCACTAACCTCCCTGCTCCCAGGGAGCCAGCACTGCTGCTCAGGCACACACCACCAGCTTTGCAACCCTTGCATTTGTCATGCTGCTGCACAAACAACACTGCTGAAGCCCAGGTGCAGCTCCTGCTTTGAGAGATGTGTATAAAAAACTCATTAGCACGTCTCTTTGGCCTGATACTTGCACCACTACTGCTCCTCACTGAGCCACCAACACACAGCAGGAAAAGTCCTGTCAAGCAAATGGTGTTAAGAAACATCACAGGAGAAACATCAGGCAATTACCACTCATTATATATTTTTCAGGGGCTTGGTTTTGTGAGAGTAGGATACACACTTGCAATTTTTCTTGTATTAATGGGACTTTTAAATAATTATATAGAAGTCTTAAGCTTTTCTCATGGAATGTGAAACACAAGTTAGATTAAAGCTGTAGCTGAAACAATGTAAAGGGCTAACTGGCACATTGTGAATGACACTGTGAGCCCAACTGTTAGGTGACCATGTCAAAACCAAAACTATCTTTAAGCTAACTCTCCCTTCAATCTCCAATTTTAAAGCCCATCTCTGAACCTGTACCTGCTCCTGTCACAAGTCATATTCTTAAACACTTGAGGCTACAGTCTTGTCCTGATTTCTGGACAGAAGAAAAGCAGAAGCAAAGTTGACAAGAAACCACAGCCAGCAAACACAGTGCTTGGACAAGACACAGAAATTACAAGTGGGCAGGGATAAGAATGTGGAGGCAGCCAGCATTCCATTATCACCCATAAGAGAACCTGGGTTTAACTTTAGATAATGGGGGGAAAAAATTGAGTAAAACATATGCCTCTGAACATTTCTGTGGAATCCTTTTGTATTTAAAAAGGTCACTAGATGAGACGGTAACAGATTCTATTCCACAACTTGTTCTCAGGGGAAATTTTTTAAGCAGTTGAAGCTATGTTGCAGAGTCATGTTGTCCAGACCTAGATGATTAAATTCAAAACAATGCAGTGGTAGAGACTGAAAAGCTTGGCAGCAATTATTTTTTTTTTTTTTAGCCAGCAGAAAAGCTATTGCAAAAAAAATGAACAAACAGTGATCTTCAAAAACCTATTATAAAGCAGACTGTATTTAGAAGTCAACAAGGCTTCATGTTCTCATTAGAGAACAACTGGCTTATGTCTGCAAACAAACATGAGAACTTTGTTCCTGCAAAAGCTTTCCCACTTGCAAAACCCAGTAACACTACTTAGCCCCTGACACTCATCACCAAATAGCACTCTCAGGAGTAGCCTTGATAAAGGGAATTCCACAAAACCAACCCAGAGAAGTGACACTTGTTGAGCAACACACAAACAAGTTTTGATGACATTACAGGAGAAAAGAAAAACAGTACTTTTAACCTTTTTTCATGTCCAGAGATTTAATAGTTACTCTACACAATTCTGCAGCTCTTCACTTGCCCATGGCTTTCTATTAAAAATGAAGAGAAAAGCATCAGTCTTATCTATTATTCAACAACCCAAACTGAAAAGAAAAAATATCAAGAATTAGTTTTGGCAAAATACAAAAACAAGGACCCCCAATCTGAGTAGCCACTCTAAACCTTCAAGAGTAAAATATTAGCGACTGGAAGCAACACATCTCAGGAATCAAACTCCAGGAGTAGAAAATATTGAATTTTATTTAATCAAATTTAAGGCTTGAGAAAAAAAAATATATTGAAAGTCACTCAGAAAAGCCAGCTCAGAAGAGGAGAGAGGAGCCCCCCTTCCAGTGGCTGAACAATGTTCAAGCTGCATGACAATGCACAGGCAGTAAGGGGAAGAAAGAGGGAAGGATGGAATGGGGATACAAAACCCAAGGCAATTCTACACACAAATCAACGGCCACATCAAGCTCCAAGACTGGAAGCACAAGTCTGTCCACATGGCACTGCATGAGCTCACCAAAACTAAAGATCTCTTGGGAAGAAACATTCAGATTTTCACAAGGCAACCCAAGGTCCTACTACACTCTTTTCAGTGCTTATACACATTCTCCTCTTCATGTACAGGGAAACTGTGTCCAAAAGCAGTTATATCACTAAAAACAGAGGCAGCTGCACTGTCAGACAGACTGACACATACATACATAGCTTAATGGAAAAAAGTTGTGCTCATTTCTGCGAAATAAATGTGACCACATTGAAGTTTGCTTCTCTCAGTCCAGTTCTTCAAGTCTGACCTCTTTTGACATCTTCATGAAAAACCTTGGTAGTGTTTGTGAACTTGTTCCAAATGCAACCGCTGAAATCTCACCATCGACAATGTATCAAACCTCTCTGTGAGATCACTGAATTACTTTTCCTTTGAGGCTTCAGAGGCAGGCTCACACCCAGCTGCTTTTGCTGACAACTTTTTTTAGACCATAACCTAAATCTTTAGCCATGACATCACTGCAGGTCCACAGAGAAGGTGCTAAATAAAACTAAATAGAAAGTCTTCCCAATAGAAGTCTGAAATTACACTAGCCGCATATAGGCATACTTCAGAACATACAGGGGCAAAACAACCTAGAGCCCCAGGATTTTAAAAATTACACTGAATAAGGACAGAGAAGTTTATCCACAGTGGCAAAAAAGACATTCACTCCACGAATTTAAAGGTCCTCAAGTAAGTTGAACTTATCTCAAATTCAGTTCCAAATAACTGAAACACTGATACAAAGGCTGGTGTTAATATGGCCAAAGCCATCAAGAGCAAACTGCGGAAAGACAGTATCTTAGTTAAATTCCGGTTTGCATACAAACAGTACTTCAAAAAAAAAAAAAATTATTAATTAGTCTTCAGGAAACTTGGCAAGATTTGCAGACCCTGGAATCCTAATTTGCAATGCTGGCTCTTGTCAGCAGCTAATTTCAGTGCATCAACTCCACAGCCATCTTTGACACCAGAATGATTTTCACCAAATCACTGGAATTCCTTCCTAGCATTAGGAGCTGGCTGTGTCAAAAACCGGCAAAGGGAAATGTACTCCCTAGCTGGTGTTTTAAATGCCATGTTGTATGACTAAGAAGTTCCAAATAGGAATCATCTTTCTCCGATTTTACATGTATCCGATTATCACAATTAACCGTAACCAAGTAAATTGGCTGATGAGGTGTTGCAAAGTTTCAAGCACCAGAATTTAAAGCAAAGTTTGCTGGCCACTGCTCTGTTGCTTGCCAAGTCATAGCACAATCACACATTTCTGGCTGCTCCTGGATCAGATTCAACCGATTCATCAGATTTGATGTCTGATGTAATACAGACATCAAATTCACAGCTTTACAGAAGAAATGCCTCTTGCTCTCCCCTCAGTGATCTACTGCTACTGTTTTCTTGTTGTATTCCAAATTTAAAAAGTCACAGTGTACTTCTAGCCATTTTACTTTCAGGTTTTCAGATGAGTTAATAGCAGACTATTCTCTGCTACTGTAAGGAAATCAGCCATCCTTAGACAAGCTTCCTTTTCCTGTTGTGTCTCAATCACTGGCCAGAAAAAGAACTATGAAAGCTGAAGTACACATGAGCACTGCCTGAAGTGCTTCACAGATTACAAGCTAGAAGGATGTCTGGACAATTCACCAGACACAAAGATACTGTTGATCAACTTTTGCCAGTGAAATGTTTGTTAATACATGCATAATAGAAAAAAGGACATAATATATTTAAAATTTTGGCTTCCAAAGAAAACCATATACTTTAGAAATACAAGTATTAAACCCTTCAGGCACACTACATATAGTAAAATATTATAAAAATAGATACTTTTCTAAAATTTACACTATGTTAGGCACTGTAAATGAACCTGCTCTCCCTGAAAAACCTGGTGTCATTGGAAGCAGTAAACCATGTTAGTTATATGGCCTACAGTAAAACCGACAGCCACAGCTACTTCCAAAAACTTTTCAGCCACATACTGTAACCTTACAGCTGAGGATACAACACCAAAGTCTTACAGAAGAGACTGCACCTCCTACTGAGCTGCAGATCCATCTACTAAGCCCCCACAAAGGGAGGACTGGAAGAAGAGTTTACTTTTCTCTTGATTAAAATAAAAACCCTGACAATAAGAAGGACTAGTTCAGCGTCATATAGAAAATTACTGAAGAAATCATTCTGCTTCACTGTATTTTGATTCACATTTGAACCATGAACCAGGCAAAACTGATGGCTCGACAGCTTTACACAAGACTTTAAAATTTAACAACTTTAATATTTTGCTAAATATGTACTTCCTTATTTAAAAACATATTTCACTAAGGATTAACACTGAATTTCTAAGTCTTTCATCAGTCCTGACAGTGGCAGTTAAGACTTGTGAAGATCAACATAGCAGTTGTGAGAGAAACTAGAGGAATAACAAAAGCCATCAACAGCTAGCACAGCATGCTTGCTACCTACTGAAAACAACCTTCTCAAGTGTACGCAGACAGCACTTTTTAAAGATATTACTGATCATTGAAAGGGTAAGCATTTTTAAAAAGGTTTTTCTTCTATAAATAAAGAATATTTACATTTTTCTCAGACAGGGAACAGCATCAGGGCTTCACACCCTCTTGCCTGAAACAGAGATTTGTAAGACTTAATGCTACAGATCGTCAGATTTTTCCTATCCTGGGAACTGGCTTCCATTTTTCAAAAGAGCGCGGGGTTTGCACAACCTGAAATCAACTAAAGATCTAAACATTTTGTGATTTTTTTTTTCCCCAATTTCCAATTATGGTAGCTGGATATGTTGGCAAGAACGACTGGATAAGTCTGCTGGAGAGATTGCAAGATTCTGGAGAAATCAGCATGTGACATTTGAAACTATTACATTTTCAGACAGAAGACAGGAGTGATGACAGAACAATCTTCTTAGCAATCCTTCAAGGAAAGGGTTAACAGCAGTTTCATGGCTCCCTGCTACAGTCTTTAAAATCTGTTCTGCCAATTTCTCGGGAAATTCCATTTCTTCCTCGGAGATCAACGCTGGTGCGCTGACTTGTCTTGCCAGAAAAAAGGTAGACAGCATGTGTTCAGTGATTTTTTTTTGTAATAGCTTCTAACAAAAACCTTGAGCAGGGGAAAAAAAATCCATATAAGGCTTTCAACAATGGGAGTATTTCGTGGTCCATGCATTTCTTCTGCCTTGGTGTCCAATCAATAATCTTAACGTACACTGCTTTGCAACGTGGGTCTGCTTTCATATTCAGAAGGCATTACTTGCCTTTACAGCTTCAATATCAGAAATCAGTGTTCTGGCTAGGAAAATCCCAAAAATCTAAAAAGATAAAAAACATACCATTTTGTGAGATAAAACACTTGCAACGTACCCGTCTGGAAGATGTTTGTTGGCAGATTCAGATATCATTTCATAGCCAAGATTATCCATCAAAGTATAGCTATTACTAAAAGGTAATAAAGGTAACAGAATCCTGCAGGTAATAAAACTCATGAGAAAAATGCTTTCATGTAAAACTTCAGCAGCCTTCAAAATAATAAGCTTTCAGATGTCTTAGAGATAGAACAAATCCACTTAACCAAGTCTGAGTGTCATAAACACCCATGTTTACCTACTGCTAGAGCTACAAAGCAAACATTTGCATTCGTTCCACAACTCTGAATAACAACCCAGTCAGTTTTCAGATCATTTTTTTAAATACAGACAGAATGTACTAAAATGAAATTCTTGTCACAGACAACAGAGTAGCCCCAGATTATTCAGAGACATTTTTAAATTTGAAATTTTAACATTGATGTCAGTTCGCAGGGAAATCTTCCTTTACAACCTGAGGATAAACTTGTAACTCAGCAAATTTCCTAAAACATTCTTAGCAATAATATAAAACTGGAGTGAAGTTTTGGAAAGACTTAAATGTAGTCAAGTTCTGTCTAATACTCAGTCCCACAAGGAAATAGTTTAATGCACAAGAAAGACCCAATTGGAAAATACAAATAACTGAAAGTGGTTTCAGAGAGACTTGGGACACAGAGAACAACATTCTCAAGTCATTGTCAATCAACACACTGCCAAAGATTAAGCTTTATGTCTTGACCATCTTTCTAGCAAGAGGTGCTGTTCTTAGCATAGCATGTCTCAATCCCATGGAAGCATTACCAGCAGATGGTGATAAAAATATATCAAACCCTAAGCTACAGAGGGCAGTATTACCAGGGGTGCAGGAAGGTCTTTTGCTAGCACTCTATACTCAAGTATATTTTCTGTAGCAGAACTTAAAGTTTATTGTTTCCCATTTAAGTGAAGGAGTTTCCTAGCACAGAAATTAGCGCAACACAAACAACTGCCACAATGAAAGTGGGATCCACCTAGAAAGCAGCAGCCTAACATGCTTTACTGAGAATTTCAGCTCCCTCTCGGATGTACCAAGCACTGATAGAAGGTAATAGAGGCAGTAGAAGTCACTGTCTTCCATCTGGTTCTGCTAATATCACATTTACAACCTGCTCACCTACTTCCCTGCTCTTACATTCCCAACCTTTTTGAGCAGCATGCTACAACCACTTCAGGTTAGCCACTGTAGGTTACCTACAGCTGGCTGAGGTAACCTTAGCATGAAGGACAAGGCTGTATCTTGGTCATTTCAGGTTTGTATAGAAGACTGAAGCTATATCTACAGAAGCAGACAGCACATCCGCCTTCCTTACTGACATTGAAACACAGGGAATATTTTATATAATAATTATATATTACATATGACCATATTAATATTACAATATATATCCCAATTATCACACACTATTATTATTGCACTGTGTTTTTATTATGACCTTCACTGCTTTGTGCAACCGCTGTTTTCACACTAACTCCCCTTTACTATATATAATTGGTGTTTCTGCCATCTTTGTATCATACCTAAAAAACCCATATTCAAAGTATTTATTTTACCTCTGTCCTTAACTACCTTTACCTTCAGCAGGTCTTTATTTGCAAACATGACTTTTTCCAAGAATCATAACAATAACAACTAACCTGGAGCAGTGAGATAGCTATGAAGACACCTGCAACAATGTAGATATTTCGGGGTAACCAAGCTTCAAGCGCATGAATACATCCTTTGACAAAAATCTGATCATCCCATTGACTTTTGCTCTGAATTTAGAAAAGAAGAATAAGAATATTACTTTTCTGCTCAAGTTTACTCTAAGATCTATCATATGATCCAGCTAAGCTAATGTTTTGTCACTCTTGCAGTAAAGTTTTTAACCACACTTCAAAAATACACATCTGAATCAAGGAATGTCAGACACTGATATGTGCATCTTTCTGAAAATCCTGTTTATTAGAAACACTGTAGAATTAGCAGATGGTCAAATTAGCAGACAATAGATCAGCAGATTTAGATTACTACAACTGGTAACTGAAATGCCCACTTGAAATCCAAATCCTACCCCTTTTTGAAACCCACCTTTCCCCTTACCTGTTCCCACTTGTTTTCTCTGCCCTCCCACAGTAGAAGGTTACTTTAAACAAAGGACAATGTCTACCTTGCTCTATATTATGATGTAGCAGAGTTATTAGTTGCTAGAATTTTGAGCTGACACATCTATCAGCAATCCCACCAGTTTTAGTTTTGTCTATGCAGGCACGGAACATGACAGACAGCACCTTACCTTCTTTCTGATATCATAGCCACACTGAGTATTCACAACTTTTTGCTGAAAAGAAAAAGAGATTTAAAATAAACAAATCAATTGACTTGTATCACTTCTGTTCACAGCAAGTTTTTCTACCTTTTATATTCATGAACAGATCAATTGTCAGAGCCAATCTTTTTAAAAGCATTTTTAGTAAAAACAAGCAAAATCCCTATCACAACACAAGAAAAATAATGACAAAGCAAAAGTGTGGTGTACTATAGATGATGATATCAGATGATATCCTGCACCAGAAATCTCAGCTGCTTCTATCACTTGGCATTTAACTAGCAACTTTTAAACATGAAAACTGCACTGCCAGCACACAGGTGAGACACCTGCATTTAGAAAATTTATACTAAGTTTTATTGAAATATTAATAATAGAATCTCACATTAAACAGATTTAAGCATCCTTTTCCCTCCTTAATATAGCACCAGCAAGAGAAATGTACATTTGAGTAGTACTGCTCCAAACTAAGCTAGAAAATAATTACTGGGGAATCTGAACATGGAATATGTCCCTGACAAAGGCCTTTCTTGGCTGATTTCCAATACAACCAGAAGCCTACCAGGTATTAAATATAATTTACCAATGGCTCCCTCAGCATAAGGATTACTGGATGGATTTTAAGCTGTATT